GGCCTTTAGCCAGGCTGCACACTGGAATCGCCTGGAGAGATTGCAAAGTGCGAACGACTGGGTTTTGCCCCCTAATTTCTGAGGTGGTCCGGGCACAGGGAGAGTCGACAATTCCCCACGTGGCTGAATGTGAAGCCAGCGGTGAGAACCACTGTCCAGACAGAGAAGGCTCAAAGATGGGGCCTTAGAATATGCTCAAATCCCTGTAGGGCTGTTAGGGGGAAAGGGAGCCTCATTCTCTGTGGCCTTTGAGGGCAGAGCAAGGACCAGCTGGAGGAAAATCCAAGGGGCAGGTTGGCATTAGGAACAGTGAAGAACTTTCTAACAGGCAGAGAGCTGCCCAACGATAGAACAAATTGTAAGCTTCTTCCCTGGATGGCCATGCTGAGATCAATGATCACTCACACAGAATGCGGCAGGGGAATTCCCTGTCAGAAAGGGATGTTTGAGTGGACCTTGAGGTCCCCGTCCTTCCCTGCTGATTGGAGAGGCCATGGGGAGCTAGAGGTCAAGGCCTGAGCTGGGCAGTTTAGCAAGAGGGACTCACCTGCCCCCCAACCATTTATATAGGGACAGCGGCTTCTCCAGCCAGGGTGTAGACACCTATGTGGAGATGAGGCCTGTCTCTACTTCTTCTTCAAACGACTCCTCTGAACAAGGTGAGGAGGTACTGGGTTGCAGGTGTGGGAGGGGCAGAGAGGGGCGACTGGGAGCTGGGCAGGGAGGGGCAGGGATGAGGTAGGGCTGTGCTGACGCCTCTTCCCACACCAGACCTGGACAAGGAGGATGGGCGACCACTGGAGTTGCGGGACCTGCTCCACTTCTCGAGCCAGGTGGCCCAGGGCATGGCCTTCCTTGCTTCCAAGAACGTGAGTTGTAAACTGGGTCTGAGTGTGGTCACCCAGGGGGATGGGAGGCAGCTGAGCCCCGCCCCCCCCGCCCCCCCCGCCACGTAAGTCTGGATGACTGACGATGGGGAGGAAAGGAGAGCATATGATGGAGCCAAGGAGGAGCCAGCATGCCAGAGAGCAGGTGGGCAGCGGCCACACGGCCTCTAGGAGTGAGCGGGAGAGACCTACGGCTGAGAGTTCCTCCACCACGGGACGGTGGGAGCCCAGGCCTGAGCAGACCCGTTTCCCTGGTGTGCAGCAGGCCGTGGAGGACCCCATGTCCAAGAACAGGCTTTATTCCTTCGGTTTTGGTCGACAGTGTGAACAAGACAACCATTGTGTCCTTTTGTGAAGCCCCCGGTCTCGTGGGGCTAATAAGGGAACCTCCCTGAGTTGTTGTGAGGGTACGAGAAGACATGTGCAACACACTCAACCCACGAAGTTCCCAGCGAGTGGGAGCTGTGACCGTCCTCCTTACAGCAGATTTGGGAGTCCAGAGTTTAATTGGTGGCTCAGCCATTTGCTGGGTGACTTTGAGCAACTGTTGCAATTCTCTGAGCCTCGGTTTCTATACCTGGAAAAATGGGCACAATCACAGGGTTGTCTTAAGGGCAAAACAAGGTAATAATGTGGGCAGATGCTTAGAGAAGAGCCTGGCACGGGAGGGCCCTGGAGGTAGCAGCTGCTGTTACTAGTACCCGGGGGACGGGGCACAGAGGCTGTTCCCAGCACCAGAGCTCATTGCTCCTTGCCCAGGCGGACTGCCCGAACTCTAAGGCAGCAGCCGCTGCTCAGGGCCAGAGGGCCACAGTGATGGTGCTTTTTAAATACTGAACCGTCCAAGCACATTGAATTTCCTCAGACCTGGGTCTTGGTAGAAGGTAGGGACAGGAGCCAGAATAGAGGACCAAAACGGATGCCCACTCCCTCAATGAGGAGCCCAAGGCCTTCTGGGGCCCTGGCTGCTCCCCCTGCACCTCAGGCTCAAGTAGGGCAGGGGCTGAGACTAACTCCGCAAGCCCTTCCCTTCAGTGCATCCACCGGGACGTGGCAGCACGAAACGTCCTGCTGACCAGTGGGCGTGTGGCCAAGATCGGGGACTTTGGGCTGGCCAGGGACATCATGAATGACTCCAACTACATCGTCAAGGGCAATGTGAGTACTGGGGAGGGTAGGCCGGGCTGGGGAGGGGGCGGTGAGCCAGGGTCCGAGGTGACTGGGGTCTGCTGTGCCAGGCCCGCCTGCCCGTGAAGTGGATGGCTCCAGAGAGCATCTTCGACTGTGTCTACACGGTTCAGAGTGACGTCTGGTCCTATGGCATCCTGCTCTGGGAAATCTTCTCACTCGGTAAGCCGCTGGCCCAGGGCAGGCTTGGCCTAGGGCTGACTCGTGTTCGGTTACCATGGTGTCCTATACCTCATGGAGGATGCCAGTCAAGGACACTTGGTGCCCAGGGCACAGCAAAGGCTGCTGGGAGTGAAAACCAAGCAGTGCACCTCCTGCATGGGCTGGGCGGACGCTCCACGCCACCAGGCATTCCGTCCAGGCTCTTCCCTCGTGTGCCTGCCCGAGCGGTTGCTGCTTCCTTGAATGGTTTTCTCTCATACTGTGTGTATCCCGCTTCTGGAGCTCTAGGCACAGGGACTTGGGCTAAGCCCTTCAACGAGCTCCTCTAACCTTTTATTCCAAAGCCTGTGCCGGAATTCTCTGTGGGGTGTGATGAGGCCTGGGTGAAGGCTCCCCAGTTCCACCGAAGCCTACGCTCCTTTGTAACTCTTCACACCCCAGCCTCGCCACGATGTAATGTGGGTGTGGGGGCAGGTGAAGGTGAGCACTGAGCATGGTCTCCTACATGATCTTGGCCTTTGCAGGGCTGAACCCCTACCCTGGCATCCTGGTGAACAGCAAGTTCTATAAACTGGTGAAGGATGGATACCAAATGGCCCAGCCTGCATTTGCCCCAGAGAACATGTAAGTGAAGGACCCCAGGGAGGAAAGAGGACACCCCAGGCTTTGGTTGAAGGGGACAGAAGTGTGTGTGTGGTCCCAGTCTCCCTGCCCAGTGTTCCAGAACCAGGCTTTATCTCCCCCCCAGTGGGCCAAACCAAGCCCTTTTCCGAGTGAGTTCAGGGTTTCCACTGGTTTCCCAGGTAGCCTAGAGGATGTGCTCCAAGGACTCCTAACTGGGACTGGTCCTAACTCAATTGACAGGTTTTTAAGTCAGACTCTCGTACTATGACCTCAAAGAAGACTCCTGCCATCTCTTCTGTCCTGGCACTCTGGGGTGTGGGCCAGCCAGCCACGGCAGCCTCTCCGCCGCCTCATGACAGCCGGCCCACCGCGAGCCGCCGACTCCCTCCCCTCACCACGGCCTCTGCGCGGGCCAGCGGGCCATGCATTCACCCACATCTTTCCCCGCCACTCTCAACACGGCCGCTCCTGGTGCCCAGCCAGGCCCTCGCGGCCTGCCGGCCCACCAGCTCCACAGCCCTGCAGCCCCCCTGCCCTGTTAAGTCTCTTGCTACAGTCAGCTGCTTGCTCATCTCAGCCCACCTGGCAAACCGACCTGCAGGCAGCAAGGGCGCCCCTTCTTGGTTCTAGGAGCTTGGGCGAGAGCATCTCTGAACTTTTTCTCCTCTCAGCTGTCAAATGGGCGTGATAGAAGTACCTTCCAAGGGCTACTGGGGAGATTAAGTAAGACAAGCATGTCAAGGACTTAGCACAGGTCTCGTGTCAGGCTCACTTCTCACTAGGCTTCAGGCCCTCTGCTGGGCAAGACTGAGGGGCTGTGTGTGCATGTGCACAGGGGAATGGGTCACGGTCCCCAGGCCCACAGGCAGCTTCTGTTCTGTCTCAGATACAGCATCATGCAGGCCTGCTGGGCCCTGGAGCCCACCCGCAGACCCACCTTCCAGCAGATTTGCTCCCTCCTCCAGGAGCAGGCCCAAGTGCACAGGAGAGCGCCGGTGAGTGGGGCCAGCCTCGGGGTGGGTGGCTGGCTCCAGCAGGCCAGGCGGGGCCTGAGTCGTCAGGACCAACCACGCCCGGCCTCTCACCCTCAGGACTACACCAACTTGTCAAGCAGCGGCGGCAGCAGTGAGCCAGAGGAGAGCTCCAGCGAGCACCTGGCCTGCTGTGAGCAAGGGGATATCGCCCAGCCCCTGCTGCAGCCCAACAACTACCAGTTCTGCTGAGGAGACGGCCAGGAAGCTCCGCTTTCCCCTTCCTCCAAGCTTCAGCTCCACCGTGGATGGGGCACCACGGGGAGAACCTACAGACTCTGCCCTTGGTCATTTCACTCAACAGCCTGGCCCAGCTCTGAAACTCAGGGATGTGAGACCCACGGGAGTTTGGGGAGGACCCCGCTTCCGCGGCCTGGGCCATCACTGCCAGTCAGGGGCTAGGGCTGAGCCCCCCACCCACCGTTCTCAATGCTATGGCCTCACGTTTGCTATGCCAACTGGGAGAACCCCAGCTCACTCTCAACCTCGTTCCCACTTCCAGGCACCCCTTTCCCTACTCCCTGTTATCTCGTTGGAAATGGACCAGTTTTGTGCCTACCAAGTGCCCCAGTATTGAGACCAAGCTCCTTGGGCCTTGGCAGAGTAGAAGGACCCCCTCTGTAGCCAAGTGAAATGGCAAGAGCAAACAGGTGCTCAGACACTGTGCCTGGCTCAGGGACGTCAGAGCAGGGTGGCCCCTTTCTAGGAATGAACTGTACCTCCTACTCCCCATCCTCTGGCCTTCTCTCTACAGCCTCACCCACCCTAGATCTGGTCGCTACAATGAGCCAGGTGGCAGCTACAAGTTCGGGGTTCTGCCCAGTCCCCTGTCATTCTGAGTTGGAAGGAAGGGGGCCTGTGTGGCTGGCCACACCAAGCGAGCAGCATGCACTCCACCAAGCTGACCCCCCATAACTAACAGTCGCCCTGCGGGATGTCTCGGTCATTAAACTAACAGCTTTAACACAGCTGGCCTCCGATTCTCTGTGCCACTCAGGGGCCTGCGGATTCCCTGGGGCCTCTTCCATCCTCCTTCATACTGAGTGACCAACTCAGCATCTCGGGTGCTCAACCACACCGTGCCCCACACAATGAGCATGGAATTGACTCTTGCTTCACCAAAACAGATAATTTAATAAATTTTATTCTTGGTGGGGGAAGAAGGAGGGGAAAAAAGCCACCTACTCCACTCCTCTCAATAAATTAAATAACACACGGCCAATTCCCGTGCCCTAAGCAAACCTTAGGCACTTGAGCCAGTCCCGCTGTTTCCTTATGGCCCAGTCTGCTTCCCCTTCACAGAAGGGAGTTTTTCCTACTGCCGCCAGGTTATGTCATGCCAACGGGCCACATCCCCTCTGTGGTGAGGGTCCAGGGCCCAGAAAGGATGTAAAGTGCAGCAGCAGTGGCCAGGGAAAGGAGGAAGGGGATCCTCTTCCTCAAAGCTCAGGGCAGAGAAGACAGTCCTGGAAGAAAGCTGTGGCTGTTTCTCCCTCCTCAGCTTCCCCCAAATTTGGGTGCAGGAAGAGCAGGAGGGAAACGCATCCCTCCTCTGGGAAAATCAAGAGCCCAAAGGGACCCCTAGAGCTAATGAGGCCCCTAAGGCCCCAAGTCAAAGGCAACAGGCTAAGGAAGTCGTGTGGCTACAGGGGCTGGAAAGAGCGTTCCCCAGGGGTAGGAAGAGATACCTCAGCAGCCTTCCCACCTAGCGCCGGACTCTGCCTTCGCTACCCCAGGACCTCCACCCTGACCCGCAGGAGGCCCCAGGGAAGCCACCAGCTACCAGCATTCCCTTGGCCTCCCGTCCCCTTTGCTGAACATTCTATGTCCCCCAAGTGCTCTCTCAGGGCCAGTAAGGAGTGTCCTGGTGCTCCTCCTAACCCCCAGAAGGTTGAGAACCACGGACCCGGGGCCCCACCGTGCTCAGGAAATGGAAGCTCTTTGGTCAGTCCCAGCATCAGAGGCCTCCCCAAAGGTGAACGCTCCCGCCGGTCCCCTGGATGGATCTGCCTCGGGTAAGGGCCTCACTATGGCTTGAGATGGTGCAGTCCCTGTGCAAGAGCCTGGCTTAGACTGTCACTGCAGCCACCTCCTCTTCCTCACCCTCCTCCTCTGCCTCTGTCTTGATCTGAGCTACCCCGAGGCGGTAGAGGGTGTCTCGGATGACCACCTCGCCAGGCTGGCAGCTCTGCACAATGTCATGGATCTGCCGGTTGACTATTTCACGGCTGGTGAGGAAGTCCATGAGGCGGTTGTAGAGGTAATAGTGGGTGGCATTGTCAAAGGCAATGGGCCGCTGGCGGACACTGTTTGGTTTGCTGTCTGCAATGGAGGCCAGGATGGTTGCGTAGGGCGCCAACTCAGGGCACAGGGCTGAAGAGTGGTGCCCAGTACTGGGGTCACCAGGACTGGGCTGTGTGTCTACGTGGACGATGTGACGTGTGGCAGTCTTGGTGACTGGGTGCTGGACAGAGTGCTCAGCCTCCATCATGTCCACAGTATAATGCTGGTCCAAGAGTTCTGGGCAGGATACACTCTAGAGGAGAGATAAGAAACCACTCTGACATGAGGGAATGACTAAGGTAGAAGCTGTGTGAGGTGGGTGAGAGTGAAGGGGGGGGCGTGTCAGTCAGCCCCATTTAAACCCTCACATCACCACATATGCTCACATCTCCTGGGGCAAGTCCCCTCTCCTCGTGAAGACGGGGAGAGTCACAGTGGCCACCTCCCAGAACAGATGCTGCATCGCCTAAGCTGCTACTCCTTATTACCATGCCTAGGCAATTCTGGCCGGGGCTGCAGGGGAATGGGGAGCGGGGCTCTCGCTGAGGCTCAGTTGCCTTATGGCAGTGCCAGGCACAAACTCACAGAGCCAGTGAGTCCAGCGAATAAAGAAAAGGTTGAGTGATGACAATGACGCCTCCTTCCTGTTGCCAGGCCTAACATTTCTTACCAGCAAAGGGCACATGTGTCTGGTAGGAATCACAGTCTGGTACAAAGCACCAAAATACAGAGACAAGGGCTCTGCCCCTTACCTGCTGTGCGACACTGGCTAAGTCCACGTCCCCTCTCTGGACCTTACTTTACCTTTTACTAAAAGGAGAGGGTCGGATACAGTGGTGTTTTCTAAGCCTCTGTGCCTCTAGATCAGGTATGCCAGACAGTACGTTCAGGGTCAGACCCAAGATCTGACGGTCCGGGCCTTTGGTACACCAGTGTGCAGCAATTTCGTAGGCTTTTCTGGAAGGCGACCCCTGTGCCTCCAAAATACCCGTGTTTGGGACACCCTGGGCACTCCTAAGTGACATGCTGGGGCCTTACACGCACAGGGCTTGATCAGTAAACATTTGTGGAGGAAATGCTGGCGCACAGCATCAAGACAAAATATTAGTGGAGACAAAGGATGCTGGAGATGGTTCCCAGAAGGCCTTCCCAAACAACCAGGAGGAGGGACGTGGTCAGTTAGTGGGACTGTTTCCAGTTCCTCAGAAGGGAACTCACCACAGGTGGCTCTGCGGGGCTAGAGAAACAGCCCTGGTTCCTCCCCCACATCTGGTTGGTCAGCTCTGGGTAGCAGAGGTCAGCACACAGGGCCACTGGTGTGGCCATGTCTACCACGTAGACAGGTGGCCAATGGCGGGAAGAGACAAGCAGATCCACATGGTCGCGGGCACTCTCGCCCCGCACAAGATACTTGGAGCCACAGATCACCTGAGCAGGGAGATGGAGAGCACAGCAGAGGGTTAAGAAGCCAAACAGCAGACAGAGTTGAGTCTTCTTCCCATAAAGATGAATAATCAGGTTTCGTGACTAAAGCCATGGCCATCCTGCCAGAGCCCATCACATTCTGCTTCCTATTTCTGTCCCTAAATGAAGTCGCCAGCTCATCCCTGACTTCCTGAGAGAATATAGCTGGGGGCATCTGGTCTTCAATGGAGGCTGAGAGGCCCCCAAGGGCATCTATTCCCAACCCCACCCTCCACACTGCCCTACCAAGCACCCTCCAGTCCAGGGGCTCCAACTCCCAGCCACACAGCACTGGCAGCCCACAGCTGGTTAGAGATGGAGGTTCCTGGGCCCTACCCCACACCCAAGGAATTAGCCTCTGGGGGTGGGGTCTGAGCATCTGTATTTTGAGCAGCTCCCCACCAGACCCGGACAGGCTGCCCAGATGGGAACCTCAATGTAGACTAGTAAACACCTCCACTGACAGTGCCCCCCAGGTGCCACTTTGTTGCTGGGGAGGGGGAGCTCTGGGTTTAGTGGGGGATCCTGCATCTGTCTCCATCTCCCTACCGTGTTCACCCCCACCAGTCTTAGCTATCACCTCCTAGTAATTTTGCTTGCCCATCACAGCCCGGAGGCTCTGTAACTCTCATGGCCCCACGTGGTCAAGTGCTTCTCACGAGATGGTCCCCAGTCACATGAACACAGTCCCCTGAGCAGGCTCTGTTCTGCCAGAGGAAAGGCATCCAGTCTGTCCCTCAAACACAGCTTTGGCTGAAGAAGTTGATAATCGGATTCTCTTTTGACAGCCAGTTGTCATGCCCCTCATGCACCTGAGTGAACTCTGCTAGCAATCCCTCCCCCATTCAGTACCTGTTCAGGGGGTGTTCGACCCCAGTATCTTCCTGGGCCTGCTTTGTCATATAGTGCACAACCTTCCCAGAGCTATCTCAGTGCCTGCCCTGTCTGCACTCTACAGATGTGAAGCATGCTCTCCTTAAGCCAAAATCAGAACTGCGTCCTCCCCAATTCCCACTGAGAACTGTCCACTAGGCCCCTTACCACCCTCAGCGGGAAACCCAGACTGCTACTGTGGCCTACAAAGCTCTGCATGATCTGGTCTCTGCTCACCCCTCCAACCTTCCTCTTTTGGGCTCACCAGGCTTCCCCACTCAAGACTTAGTGGTCACCCTTCCCTCTGCTGAAACATTCTTTCCATAACTCATCACTGGGCTCTCAGCCTTCTCTCGCTGCCCCAGACAGCAGGTCCCTCTCTGTTGCCTTCTATCTCAAGGCTTTGTCTAGTTCCTTCAAAGCTAGCGCCCTAAGCCACGGTGGCTCTATTTTCCCTCTAAAATGAGATCAACTAGAAAAGAATGAATCTTCACTGCTCACCTCTGTACCCTCAACAGCTGACGCAGGGCCAGGATGTGAAAGGGTGCTTAATACTCATTGGTGATGACCCAGGCTCCCTTCCTAGTCCAAAGGGTGGCATCTGACCCATAAGGAGCTACTCCACAGGCCGCCCAGTGACCTAAGTGCCAATTCCCACAGAATGAGCTGGATCAGCCAGATTATCTGTATGGGCAATCTGACATGGACAAATTCACCCCAAGCTACTCCTTATTATCCCCTTACCTGATGGGGGCACACCTTATAGATTTTACCCCCTGTGAGATGAGGTGGGGGCTGTCTAGCTCTGGTTCCATTCTGTACAGATTCATAGAGGGCCAACAAGGAGAAGCAGAGCTGTTCCTGGAACAGGACAAGATTAAAAACAAAGCAGTAAATGCTAAGAAACCAGGCCTGGTGTGCAGCACCAAATGCTCACTTCAACACCCAAAGAGAAAGAATAAACTATCAAGGCCAGAGTGTGCCTTGGAGCCTCACTAGCTTAATGTCCTCTAGGTATAGATGGGGATTCTGAGGCCCTGAAAGGACCAGGTCCCAGAAATGGCCAGCCACAGTGATCAAGGTGCCAGACTTTTGAGGCCTGAGCGGGGGGGGTGGGGGGTGGGGGTCTTCCTACTTTTCACAGGGCAGGGGATGCTTCAAAGATAAGCTAATATTTGATCTGAACTTGAAGGAGGCATGAAATTTTCGACAGGACGTTAGTATGAAGAAAAGTAAATAATGTAAATCACACACACACACACACACACACACACACACACATCCCCACACACCCACACAC